ATACTGGAGAGCTTAAAAATAGGAACCAAATACAAATTCAAGGAAAGGAGATAGCATGGTGGCCCTTTGCACAAATACAAACCCATTATAAAAAAGATAGAGAACAATTTGGCTTTAATATGATCCCACAAGAATTAGATAAAATATGGCTAGGAGAGGAAAAGAAAACAATTAATAAAACATATAAATATCTTTTGGATTACAAATTAAAAGAAGAAACAGTCACAGAATCTATGATAATTTGGGCTAAAAATGTAGGTCATAGTATTGGGAACTATAAATGGGAACACATCTGGCAAACAAATTACAAATTAACCATGTCAGTCTCGTATAAAGAAAACCTATATAAAATTGTTCATAGTCCAAGACCATTTCATTGGATACTTTTTGTAGCCAATGGTACCAACTTCAGGGATATAATTCAAAGGCATCCACCTTCCTTTTTTGCTACTCAAAAACCACACTTCTTCAGAGTTTGAGGTTTTTTTTTCCTTGCTTAAAATATCTTTACCTTTCATATCATCTATCTTAATATCACCTTAATATCATCATATTAATCTCACTTTACTTCAGGATGCTATCTACCAATATTCTCATTCTTTATTGCTGCTAAGTATAAAGATTAAATCATTATTTCGCTTATATTCTCTATTTCATTTTAACTATCTGATCTGAGGTCAGAGGTAAGTAGCTCTAAACATCGTTCTATTCCCCTTTTTTAAGATCTTAAGCAAAATGTTGCTTGTATGTACACTGAGAGCTTATGCACTGGAGACGAATTCCTTGTGTGTCCAATCATACTTGGCCAATAAAGAATTCTAAATTCTAAAAAAAATATAATTTACACATTCTCTTGCAGGTTCTTACTTTTAATCCCAGGGCCATCCAGTTTCTTCTGAAATCTTTTAACACAGTTAGCTCTTTTACTGTCTTTTCTCTTGCAGCTTTAAACAGTCCAATGGGCATTTTCACTTGCACCACGGGTTTTCCTATATGATAGTAGGTACTGCCTCTGGTTATGTCACTTATAGTGGAATAGTTTCTGAACTTTCACACGCTTTCTCTTGAGATGTTTTTGTCATTCCATAAAGCTATTTCTAAATGGCTTCGGTATTGTCTGTCTACTTTTTTTTTTTTGCATTCATTTGCCTCTTTTTCATTTCTTCTCTGCTTTCTCTTTAATAATCCTATCTTAGTTGTAAATTTTCTTCTGATTTTCTTATAAAACAGCTCTCTATTTCTTTAGCTTTTTTCTTTCATTCCTTTGAATTCTTAATTGAGACTTATTCCCTTGTGTTTTCTTGTTTACACTTTAAAATGCTACATTCAGTCATTGTACAACTTTTATCCTCTGTCTCTTCCCTGACTATAACAATAGCATCTGTTGATGGGTACTTGGATCCTTTCCTCTTCAAATATTTTCCCCCTCTTTGTTTTTTTCATTATTCAATGCAGCTGCTCAGATTCACTTTTGCATAAGCTAAGGATAGCAGATCTGTTCCTTATACTGATCTTATCTTTTGACTGTACGTTCTTGAGGTCATACCTTTCTGATATAACTTCTGGAAAAACTGGAAACAATTTCCCCCTTAGAGAGTAGACAGCTATAACTCTAGGAACAAAGGAAATCAGCTTTAAAAGAAAAGGGAAAAACTATGTGCAGAGAGTGAGAAGGTTGAGTAAGAAGTGGGAAGAACTCTGGACACCAGTAACTAATAGATAGTGCAATGTAATAGAAGTTTATCTAATTAATATAAGTTTATCTAATTAACAGGAAGAAAAAATTCACAACATTCGAAAGACAGGATTAGCATAACCAGTGGCGTTACCTTCTACTTTAGCGATAGAAGAGGGCTGGAAATTCCTATTGCGTTTCTAGGATTCTGTATCAAATTCCTAATTCTTATACTAAAATTCCTGATTGAAGTCTGTGTAATTCTTGATCATGTCCTGCTGAATGGGGCTTGACAGTATAAAACACTTCAATTGACAAGAAGTATTTTTTAAACTATTGCAGTTATTTGTGGGTCCTCAAAAAATTGAGCCGTTTTAAGACCCAAATTATTTCGGGTCCTAAATGGGGGAGAATGTCTAGGATGTTATATCCCTTCTACCTCCTTATAGAGGGAGTTCTCAACTTATGACTGGTCACTCAGCAATTGTTCAAAGTTACAATGGATTCTTACAATCCATTTTTTTTTCTAAAGATATTTTATACTTTATTTTCTAGAATCAATCAATGTTCTTTTAAAAAAATAATATCAAAAGTACAATAAAGATATCCACAAATATCCACAATTGTTATACATCATCCTGCTGACAGTCTGCAGATTTCAGAAGGATCCAATGTAAAACAACTCTTATTGAAGGAGGTAAGGCAGAAATATCATAGATGCATACAATTACATCTTTAATATCACATCACTACCGTATTTTTAGCAAAGCTTGCTAATGGCCTACTTCCAGTTCCCTTTTTTTAGAAGGTATTTCACGAATAGGAAAAAAAGCAGAGAAACAGCAAAAACCAACACTGACGTGTTCAGGTAATTAAGACAAAATGTGACATGTATGCTCATGATGTCTTACTAAACCAGAGGCAGATCCACAAACAAATGAAACACAGTGAAAAAACAATTTTAAAGTGCTGACATCTGTAAACACAGATCACATGATTGCATTTTGGGCACTGGGCAACCAGTTCATTTTTATGGCTGTTTGCAGCATCCCATGGTCACAGGACAATATCTTTCTACATTTTTTGCTAGTTCCCAGCATTTACTCCCAGTTTTTGGCAAAAAACTGTCATTGGATAATATGGCTTCCCTTAACAACCACCCCGAAAAAGTTTGTAAAATCAGGCAAGGCCAGACAGAGACCTATCTTAACAACTATAATGACTGCAATTCCAGGCTCAATTAGGTCTTTAAGTCAAGGACTATGTATATACAAAATACAAGTTGCCTTATACTGCATCTAGCTCAGTATAGTCTGCACTAAATCCCAAAACTATCTCCAGATTTCAGAGGATTTTTTTTTACTTCCCTCCCCTTTACTAGAGATACAGTTAACTAAACAATTGCATTTGACAGGGAGAAAGAAATAATAATAATTAAAGACATGCCTAGCTACAGCCAAGCACTGAACTTTCTTCCAAAAAGATGTTGAAGCTACTAAAATATAAGAAAGGAAATGTTTAATACAGCTGCTTGGCAGACAATAAAAATTTTATCAGACTAAAACTTTAGAAACCTTATCACATTACATGCCTTCACTAAAAACTATCCAGCCTCCTTTTATTAAAAGTTTAATCTTAAGTCAGCCACAGTTTTATGTCTCTCCTCTTTCTTCAATATGCTTCATTAGGACATTTTAAATATAGCAAATGATTTATTCAGTAAAGGTTAAAAAGACACTTTGCCATGGATTCTGCTGGGATCACATCTGGATGCTTCTCTACTTAGGGGAAACAAGATAGAACAGATGTTATCAGCTATGAAATCCAAAGCTGTATTAATTTTCCCCACTTAAAAAAATAAAAAAGGGGCACAGGTATTGGCTAAACTTTTTTACATGCATTTGTTGATTGAGCACCTTCCATTTTCTATTATTTAGCTGTAAAAATCTCCCAGGTTCTCTTTGCCAAGTGTCCTTATCTTCTCTAGCGCTACTGGAATGACCCAAAACCACATAGCAGAATGGGGTATTTTTACACATAAATGACAGCAGAACAAAGACCATAGTCATCTATAAGAGGCGCAAGGGGGATTTAACTGTAATAAAATGTTTTGCAATACAATTTCTGCCCCTTATGTACCTGTGTAAATGGAAGCATGGCAGGATGGAAATTGTATCATGAAAGGTACACAATGCCCCAGATTAAGAAACCAATGCGATAGAGGTGAGGGCTACATTTATTGTACAGGTAGTCATCACTCCAAAACCCTAATTGGGACTAAATTTTTCTTTGCTAAGCAAAGCAGACATTAAGCAAAATGTCACATGACTGCACTGCCTAGCAACAGCTATTCCACTAGTCTTTGTTGTGGCCAATAGGCTGGGATTGCACACATCATTGTTAGTCCCAAAGGTGCTTTACAAGAGGCAACTGGACTTTCTAGTTTTTCTTTGAAGACGTTTCACTTCTCATCCAAGAAGCTTCTTCACTTTTCAGCTTCTCGGATAAGAAGCAAAACATCCTCAAGGAAAAACCAGAAAGTCCAGTTGCCTCTTGAAAAAGCACCTTTGGGATAACCATGATCTGGATGACTGAGAACCGCCTTAGATATACACCATTGTTAGATGAGGACTTCATGCAATACTTACCTCCACTTCAATTCTCTTCCCTCTTCTGCCCTTTTGGTCACCCTACACTCCACCATCTATCCCTGCCATCACCCACCACTTCTGGCTCACCTTTGCTATCTTCTTCCTTTCATTGGGGGAGCCTCTGGCTGAAGCAGCTGCTGGCTCTGCCTAAAGTCTCGCAAGCAGTGGAAGAAGATGGTGAAGGTCAGGTGGGGTGGCAGTATTAGGCAACCGTAGAGTGCCTGGTGGCCAAAAGGGCAAAAATGGAGGGGGGAAGAGTTGAAGTGCATGCTGCTGTTGTAAATGCAGGTGGGCTACTAAGTGACCAGAGAGAGTTTCTGTTGTAAATCAAGTTGAACCCAATTTTACTTCAATTTTTACAGCAGTTGTTTTGAATGAATCAGGTAGTCATTAGGTGGATCTAGTTTTCCCAGTGGGTGTATTTTTGCTGAAAAAGTTTGCAAATCACAATCGTGTGATCACCGGATGCTTCAACCAGTTGCCAAATGTCTGAATTGCAATTATGTGACCATGAGTGCCATAAATGCAACTTAAGTCATAAGTCCCTTTTTTGAGGCATCATAACTTCAAACAGTTATTAAACTAATGGTTGTAAGTCAAGGACTACCTATAGTACTTTCTTAAGCTAGTCTGGATTTCCCAAAACAACAAAGGAAGTTTTGAAATAAACTTACCTATGCACGTCCGTCCATCATCTGAAAACTGATAACCCTCTAAACATTCACATCGGAAAGTCCCTGGCTGATTATTACACACAGCATTACTGCCACACACTGTTTGCTGCTCCTGGCATTCATCTACATCTGAGTAGAAAAGCAGCATTATTATACAACTGCCACTCACAATTCTTTAAAGAAAGAGCACGATATATATCTGTGTTTAGTTTTAGTTCAGCTGAAAGGCAATCTCTGTTTTCCAAACAAAGCTGTTACAACAGAGAATAGAAGCATCAGCCAAATGACTTGTCAAGATATAAGTGATGAAGAATGTAGTATTTGATTTTGTCATATTAGGATATTGATGAATTTTTACTCCATCTGATTCTTGCAGCACAGTAATTTAATATCATGACAACACCAAGGTGTGCACAAGAGAAGGTGAGTATTTATTTTTAAACCGAAAGTACCTCAGAAGATTGCAGCTTTGCAGAAGATGAATAAATGGTGGAAGTACATGGCTAATCCATATTTTTCTCCTAGTCACCATGCTAATCAAAATTATCTTCAGATTGCTGTGTAATCATTGTGAAAAATTCTAAACATAAACATAACTCAAGCAGCAGCAATTCTGTACTGCCACCCCTCAGCTCTGATACACAACCTCTCAAGAAAGCATTTTCGTTTTCTTAAAACAACAATTGGCGCAATAGCTATTATTGCAAATCACCTTAAGTTTGGCCCTGAGAAACCACGAGCAAAAGTCAAGGCAGTATTAATTGTATGGATTGGCTCAGGTTTCCCCCTTCCCCACCTCTCATTTTTGCAGATGATAGGTAGGAATTGAGTTTTATCTTCAGAATTTTTATTGTGGTTCCCGTTTGGATAGCATTCCTTATGGCTATGGGCAAAGGACCATTTCCAGTCGGAACAAAGGATTAAAAATTCTTTCTTGGTTCTACATTCCCAATCTGGGTGTAGTGGTTTTTTTTAAATCCCAGCAGGAACAAGCCAGATTATACAAATAACCTCTATGTGTATACTTCACATATACTGTGAAGTATATGTGAAGCTCTGTGCAGAGCTTCAAAGTAAGCAGAAATGCTGTAAAAAGATATTGTATAGAGTACAATTTGATCATATTGCTATTTTTTTGTTGAGGAAATCAAGTGTCTTTCTGTTGGCAGACATATACATGGGGGAAATATACCAGAATTTGTCATGTATAGCAAGTATATAACAAATAGCAAATAGCAAAACATAGATTCTGAAAGTGAATACAGTGATGAAAAATCACATTGATTTTACATGTCCTATTAAATATAAAATCCTTACCATAACATGTCCGTCCATCTCCCCGGAAACCCACTGAGCATTCACAGGTAAATTGATTGCCTGTTCCTGGACGACAAACTGCATTAATATCACAGCCATGGGTGCCTGTGTAACAAGGATTGCGGCTTACATCACCCGAACCATCTGCCAAGAGACCATAGAAGATACTTTTAAAGAAGATTATCTGAAAAAAATAATCTAACTATATCTGTGCTCTTGAAAATGTGGTTTATGTTAGCACTGAATGATTTCCATGTCAGTAAGATGCCAATGGGTGTAAAATTTGGATAGCATAGTTTATACTCCTCATGTTTGTAAAGATACTGGAATAAGATACCATGGAAAAAGATACTGAACAGAAGCTCTAAGTTCTTCTAGGCCCATATATTATTTCTACATATAGAAATTCTAAGCATTTCTCTCAATTCAGAATAACTTTATATTTAAATAAATAAATAAATGTAATAAATAATAACTATGACATAATGGAGCGAATTATAGCTGTATTCAGGGGTGGGATGCAAATGTTTTTGCTATTGGTTCTGTGGACGTGGCTAGATGGGGGTGGCCATGTGACTGGGTGGGCATACCTTTTTTTTTTTTTTTTGCAGTCCCTCCTTGTGCTCTGTTTTTCTGCCTCCTGGGCCTCAGGAAAGCCTCCCGGGAGGCCGTTTTTGCTCCCAGAAGGCTTCCCTGAGGCCCAGGTTTGCTGTGCAGCCCCCCTGCGCTCCCCCATTTTTTGCCTCCTGAACAACTGATCACCGGGAGGAAAATAAATAAAGAAATAAAGAAATACCGGTTCAGCCAAACTGGTAACATTTTTTACTACCGGTTCACTCAAACCAATAGAATACCCCCACTGGTTGTATTCACAAACAGCATGCTGTATTTCTACTCAGTTTTACCTCAGACCAATTTTGTTACCTAACCCTCATGGATGATTTATCAAATGGATTTGAAATCCAGCTTTTAGAATGTGGTCGATCTATATCTGTCTGTCTGTCTGTCTGTCTGTCTGTCCGTCTGTCCATCCATCCATCTATCTACCTTCCAGTTATAACTCAGTCTGACTTCTGAACAATTTTAATTATTTTAAAATCCAATCATTTTAATAATAGCATATGACTGTAATCAAATTGTGTTATGCAATGACTTCATAAGTGATCTTAAGCACAGACATCTAATAAATGAGTTATCTTACTTATGAAATTTCATGGTAGAATGTTAACAAATCAGATAGCAAATATTCAGAAAGAAAATATTCTTTAGCTATACCCAAATAGTAAGGTATTTCTCATTTAAGGAAGTAATTCATATGCACTTACATGGCAATAAATCTTACTGAAATCCCTGAAGCTTACTTTAGAGCAGCCGTATATAGGTTTGTATTTATTATTAGTTTAAAAAAACAAATTGCTTTTATGTCTGTTGTTAGAAGATCAGGAAATCAATAACGCTGTTCATGAATCACCTCATTCTGAAGTGAATATCAGAGAGCAGAAGACAAAACATTCTCCTTTTTAAGGAAGGTTGAATGTTTGGGTTTTCTAACTAGCAAAAATATCACTAAAGGAGCAAATAACAACAATTTATGAATTTATATATGCGGGGTGGGTAGTGAATTTTTTTCCTCATATTACCAGCACTCAGGGTCATTCATTGTTACTGGATGGCACAGGTAGTTCAAGGCAGGGACAAGAAAATAATTCTTCACTAAAATATATATGGAATTCATTAGCACACAATACAGTGATGGTTACTAGCTTACTTTAAGCAAAGATTTGTGAAACTCATAAAGAATAGAACTGTTAATGGAACTTCTAGGATCAAAGGCATTCAGAAACTAATTTTAGAAATGAACAGCAGGAGGTTGACTGTGCCTTCAGTTATTACATCCTGGAGATGTTTGATCTGACTCTGTGGGAAGCAGGATGATGGGTTAGCGAAAAGAAGGGCTCTTTTGTATGGACTGTTGCATCTGAAAATCCACAAATATAAAATCAAAGTCAGGCTTCTATGCAAAGGCAGTAGAAGTAAACCAGGCTAATCATCACCAAACGTACCAATGGGACCAATTGAATTGCTCATTGCATATCGCAAAATCTGCTCCTCTTTGTTATATAACACAAAAACACTGTCCACTGACAGCTGCTGAGTGGCTGAACCAGAATGATGGGAATCATCATGGATGCATTCATCAAACGAAATAGTTTGTCGCCACTGATAAGAAACTGTGTATGTTGGTGATACTCCATTTCTTTCTGGCTCCGTCACAGTATACTCTCTAGTAGAAGAGGATGTGATAACTGAAATATATGAAATAAGTTCATATTAATAAAAATTAGCCACACTTGAATATATTTCATTTTACATTACAATATTAAAATATGGCAGAGAATCTAACTCTACAATGATGGGGCTGACTCTTGATAATTCATTCACAGAAGAAAATGGGTGGGGGGAACTTATTTATTTTCTTGTGCCTCTGCAGTCTTTTGTCACATTTCATGCTGCTTTAGAGCTATTTTGCTTCTTCAGAACAGCTTTTCAGACTCAGGGGGGAGGAATGTGAATAACAGAAAGTTGTTTCACTGTTTCTTTCTCCACTCTGAATTGAACACTATTTGGGAGGAGGGGTTTCCAATTCATTCCTTCACAAAAAGTTAATATTTATTTTATCTTTTCATATATTTATACAATAGTTTAAGTCAAGTCTCAACAATATCAATCAGCTAGTGCTTAATTTATATTAAGTTCACTTTTATTCAACTAAAGATGTTAACTTTGCAGTGTTGAAAAATGTAACTTTTTATATTGCGTAACTAAAGACAACAGCTGACGTGTTGAACTGGACTTAAGAAAAGCAGCAAATCTCTTGAGACTTGTTTCCCAATCTCAGCATCATTGTGTGGACTTCAGTAGAATCTTCTTAAAATGATCCATTTTTCTCATCAGGTTTCATAATAAATCAGAAATATTTCCTGTTCTATCACACAATTCAATTTTTGTACCATGTCTTGTTTTGCAATCTTAAATTCCATCCATCAAATGGATGTTTTTGAGACCAAACTCTTAAAATCTATGAAATGGTAAATAACACTGAACAGTTAATCAATTGATCGTAGGTCTAACAGATCTAGATTACAAAAATCTGGACAATTGCTAGCTGTCAGCTAAGAGGCACAGAGAACTCAACACTCTACAGTCATCTAGTGGTCATCTGGATTTTTGAAGCTCGCATCTGGTCAGCCTAACTGGAGTACAAATTCATAAGACTTGAGTACTGAACAATTTCATTACCGAAAGGTAAAGCAAGTTCCACACAATGGATGTTTACATTTCTATATAATAAGAACAATGTGAAGCATCTTTTTTATTGGTAATTATAAATGACCACATAAGGTTTCCTGGAATATAAATTGGGGAAATAAAAAAAAATGTGGCTCTAAGCTTTGATTGAAGTTTTCATAATCTCTACAAAGGTTAAAAGTTGAATTGAAAGTGTTAACGAGAGAGAAAGGGAAAATTATTAAATACAAACTGTGCTGAAATAAACTGTATTTGTGGAGTGTAGTCCTTAGCATGTTCTTCAAAATTCTCAATCAAGATAATCCCTTATTTTGAGCATATGGCTGGAAACTAATCATTTTGATCAGAATTTTTGTTACCAAATATAAAGGGTGGCTAAATTGGTTGGCTAAAACACTGCAATAAATTAGACAACTTCAATGTCTTGCTACAAATCAAACATACATGATACCAATGATATAATTGTACAGTACACACTCCATTGTGCTAGCCTGCAAATACAATACTTACACACACACGTATATATATATAGAGAGAGGGGGGGGGGGGGAGGGAGAAAGAGAGAGAGAGAAAAAAAAACAATGGAACAAAATACATGTTTTGCAGAGTTAGCAGAAACTGACTTACCTCCCCCCTTTTTATCTCAGCAACCCCCAAGCTCCCCCAATCCATCAACTCTGCCAAGAATTCTGAGACTAGTAAATGCATGACTAGTTAGGAAAATCTTTGAATTAAAAATGGTTGTCATTAATCAATATCAGTTATCTCCTTTCTTCAATAGTCCTTAAGAAGTTTCCTGAGAGATAAGCTGAATGAGCTGCTATGAAGAGGGAAGGGATGAAAAGTTAGCTTTGAACACCTGTATTTTGGATATGTTGATTTGAGTTCCAGCCACTTAATATTAATTAGTTTCATAAATGGTGTGATATACCTCCCTTGATTAAAAAGAGGTCCAGCCTGGAGAGACCAGAGACTGAATAGATGATTTCAACCTGCATTAATAGATTTGGCTGCAAGCTTTCCAAGCAACAAGTCTGAAAATGCATTTAACGTACCTGAACTAGAAGAGTGATAAAGCTCAGTGTAAGGCTCTATTTGGACAGATGAGCCAAATGGGATCTCAGGAACTTTGCCTTCAAGTTCGGTGCTGATTGTAAGATGCCCATGTTCATCAATCCCACTGAACTTCTGCTTGATGATCAGCTTTTCATTGTTGCTGAGGAAGGTAACTTCTGCTTGCCTTGTAAACTCCCCACCTAGAAGATAAATTACATTAGGTTTTATTTATCTGTTAGAAGAGCCACCCTCTATGTTGAAATGTTAACCTTTAGTCTTGGTTCACCTAACCAACCAAACCTTAAGTGGACTGTTTGCTTTTGGTTTAGTATTATGTATATACACTAACTGTGATTTTGTTAACAAGCTATAATTTATATGTCTGAAGTCTAAGAATATTTAACAATTAAAGAAACCATGTTTTAATATGATTATGGAATCAGATTCTGCCTATGCAACCCATGATCTATTTTTCTTGCCCATATTTGGAGCCGGCAATCTCGTTTTCTGCTTTTGGTGTCTTTTGCTTTTATTATTATAATGGCTTGTTGCACAGTCAGCCAGATGTTTAGACTGGATTTGATATTTTATCCTATAAGGACCTGTTGAGTCCTTCCCATGGACCTGGGATTGGCAGATGCTGTTTGATGTTATTAAAGGTAATCATCAAAGGCTGTAAGCTGTTCCAAATTAAAACTGTCTTTTGCAATTGATTGGTGGCGATTTTGTCAGTTTCATGGAGTTTAAGTAGTGCTCCTGATGTTTTTGGGCTGCACCCAAGATGCCTGTTATTATTGACAGTATTTTTTTTCTTTCTTTTCACTTTTATTTGCAAGTTTTCATATTTTATCATTTTTTTCTAGTATATGATGATGATTATTATATTTTTATTAATAGGATGGGAGAAATGATGAAAAAAATAGTTTGTGAGAGAAAAAACAGTATATTATGATGTGGTTTTGCTGCTTGTCTTCTTCTGAAAATAGTTATAATGAGCTTACAAAGCCTCCTCTGTAGGAATGTAGAAATCATCACAAATATTAAAACATAAATATAATACATAATTTTAAGAACAAATGTTAAAAATTACCAGTAACACTGAATCCATTTTGGTAACCTTCCTGTTCCACGGCAAACATCCATCCAATGATACCCCCAATAGAAGCAAGAGGAAGCAAGGAGAAACCCAAAGTTTCTGGAATTGTGCTAATGGCCGTGTATGCACGCCCATGGTTCATCACAACATATGAGTGGAGGTCAGTATTCTCAAATACAACTGGTATTGGGTTGTTTCCAACAAAGATCCGTCCTTTGACTTTTCCATTGACTCGCTGAGGAGAACCTAGTAAAATGTAACAGGAAAATGTAAGTATTGTATTCCTGTAGTATTGTAAATCTTGGTTAATATGAGAGGGCTCAAGGTTGACACAGCCTTCCATCCTTCTGAAATCAATAAAGTGAGGATACAGATTATTGGGGACAATATGCTGACATTATAAACTGCCCCAAGAGTGTTGTAAAGTACTATGAAGTGGTATATAAGTCTATATACCACTAATTGCTATTGCTATTAACCAACAAGCAAGTTGTATTCTTTTAATAACAACTTTAAGAACACCAGAAAAATATGGATTTAATCTCTTTTTCAGATTAACAATTTTAAAAATAATTGTGCATTAATTTGAAATTCTGTAATAGCGAATAACATTTTCTTTAATTGTTTCAGAAAGTTAAGTATTTCAGAGTTCTCTACTATATCCTGGACTGGATATTATACAAGATCTTGCACAGTGTTTAGTCTGCTCTAAAAGAATAACATTTACATTCACCAAAGAAAAGACACTTCAGAAAAATGCTGTGCTATATTTTAGATATTTAATTGGAAATCAACATTTACCTTCAGCTACACATTGCCTGCCATTTCCTTTGTAGCCAACAATACAACTGCAACAAAAGCCACTCGGGTAGTCTTTGCAAACAGCATGAACTGAACACTGATGGCGGTTGTTTGTACAGCTTTGCTGGACATCTGTATTGTAACGGAACACTGGGGGTGGGGGGGAACACAGATAGAAGACTGGTTAAGCTCACAAAATTTTAAACCAGTTATGGTGTTTTTCATCTCCCCATTTGTTATCTATAAAATGTACAGAATGCAGAACCACATAATATAGAAATATCTTTCTTATTGTAGAACTAATGTTTCCTGAATTACTATTGGCCACATTTAATTCTCCAGCACCCAAACGCTGCCGGTTGTGAAACAGAATAGAAATTCAGCCCTAGTAGAGCCAAAAGAAACAGACTGATGTCAAGATCCAATTTTACAATTTTTCTCTTATATGATAGCAAGATGCTTTTTTCATCCCTGGCACCAGACTTTCTCTTGCATTGTTCACAGACTGTCCTCCCTCAGCAGCTCCATCTAGCCTCCATTCTCCAAGCTTTTAAAAATGTTTTGCAATACTTTGAATTGTTAGGTGGTGTTGGTATTTTTTACTATGGATTTTAATCTTCAATATTGCTTCCATTGAGCAATGAGAAATAATCCAAAATTAGTAGACATATGTTTGACAAGAATATATCAGTATAATGTGCCTCAACTCTGATATGCATGTCAGGAAAGAAGTATACAAGTTATTCACAGTGTACTATTGAATATTCCAGTTCTCTCCCTCCAGTTAGTTAACAATGCTATTTTCTTTATCTAGTACCAAGATTGCAAAGCTTTTATAAGCTCTACAAGGTAGACTAGGCTAAAAACCAAAACCATATAGGTCAGGAGTACTTTTATGATGACAGCCTCAATAACAGAATCTTGCCAGTCTGAATGTCCTTCCCCCTCCTCCACTTTATATTCCTGTGAACTAGAGAGGGGGCTCTCTGAAACATTTACTCAAAGTGGTTTCTTGGAATGGGTTCAAGTATGTCTGATCATTGCCTTGCTAGCGGTTCTTCATCCTGTCCTTCAAAGCCATTCCTTATATCCTGAACAAAGCCTCCCCTGCCCGAGAGGGCAGCCCAACCCCACATGGGGAGGTGAATCTCCTGGGCCGCAGCACAGGATTGGCCCACCCTGGGAGAGCGCCCAGCCACCATCCCTGCCTGGCACCAAGCAGAGCGCGAAGAGCTTCGCCTAGGGCACCCAGCACAGCTGACAGGCGGGCCCTCCTGCCTGGAGGCGAAGCTCTGGCCAAGGCAGCAAGCGCCTCCCCGCCGGGCCCTCTGCTCATCCCGCCAGGACTGCGCCGGTGCTGGGCGGGCTGGGCAGAGCCAGGAAAGTGAGCTGCAGGTGCACACCTGCCTGCCAAGCGAAAGAGCCGGGCCGACCCGAGCTTGGCTTCCCAAGTCCCTCCAGCCTGACCCCAAAGGAGCCACCGGGAGAGGCCACCCAAGCCAGTGATAGGACCCACCCATCCGTGGACAGGGAGGCGAGACAACAGCCCGTGCCACATCCTCCTCCGAGCTGAGCCCTACCGAGTGAGCACCTCTGCCCGATGCCCATGCCACTGCAGCGTTTGGAGCTGCAGGTGTGTTTGGAGATGTGTGGGGATGGGCTGGGCAAGGGGTGGAAAGGATGGGCGGCTTCGGGCTCTTTCTGCCAAACCCACCAGCCAGGGAAGCAGCACTGCCGTCACCTCGCCTCCCTATCCACGGACAGATGGGTGCTATCACTGCCTTGGACGGCCTCTTCCAGTGGCCCTTCACCCTTAATTTGGGGGGAGGGGCTTAATTTCATTTTATGCCTACAAAACATGCTGGGACTTCCTATTGGGGGAGGATGTATTGTTGGAGGAGCATGGTAGTAAAGGCAGCTCACATAGGAGACATCAACAACATACAAGTTAGGGCTTTTTTATATGATGCAAAGTTAGCAGGTGAATGACATATGATTTGAGACTTGTAATACTTCCTATGCCCATGCGTATTTAGAAATGGTTGGGGGGAAATTACTTCATATCTGTTGTTCATCATACAATGGATACTCTGTAAATAAATACTTTTATACCTCATGAAACAGCTTATAGAACTGTATTTATGAAAGATAATCAAAAGAGATTTTGCTAGGTGAACTTACCAATTCCAGTTTCATCATCTTCTTCTACTTCAATAATCTGAGTGTGCTGGTTGGGAAATTGATGGATTGGAAACCGTACAGGTGGATTTTTCCCTGTTGGGAGTGGAGGTTTAACTGGAGGCTGATCAGTTAAAGTTTGGTATGGAAGCTGAAAATCATCTTCTATTGCTGGCTCAGGTAAGCTGTATCCAGTCTGAAAATTATCTCCTCTGTCAGAAACATCATAGGAGACTTCTGGATGGCTTACTTCAATGGGATCTTGGTGAAGAATGGAAGGGTGTAGGGTCACTTCCTGAAATTGCTCATAGTCATTGTATTCTACACTGGCAGGAGACTGAGTAACTTTGGCCGATAGGATGTCATTTGAGCCACCAATCTCAAATGCCCAAACTCCAGGTTGTCCCAAATTGCTGGCCCTAAAAACCAAAAAAGCAAAACAAAAACTAACTATACATTAACCAAAGTATGCTCAAGCATTGTAATTTTTTTACATTTTAAAGAATTAAGTTCCGCACCACAAATTAGAAATATAGCTGGGGTAAGATATTCCTCATGAATTGCTTTGTTCAACTCTAAATGGGGAGTCTGATGGTAAAATTTATTGGACAAGACTAAATAATATTTAAAGGGGTATTACTTATGACCTTAGAAAAAGTAAATATACACATACAGTATACACAAATATACAGAGCACACCAGAGACCTGAATTTTTGAGAGATAGGAAATCCATTTCTGTTTAATGTATATTTTTATTTCAGAATCATGCCTTTCAAGCTGCAGAATAAAAGTTGGAAGCTTACAACTGTTATCCTATTTCTTGGAACTAGTGTTGTCTGAGGAAGATCAACTGAAGTTCCCAGGAAGATGATGAGCATTTGGACTGGCAAATGTTATAAGCCTTTCTCTCTTTGAATAAGAAAAACTATCAATTTGCATTGCTTTATTATTTAAAAAAATCCTAATAGTGTATAAAGTTTCTAACTAAATATATTTTGTTTTCTTGTAACTTTTATCCCAATAAACGTGCATAAGGTCCACACTGGCACTTACTATAGCAACTCGCTGCTTCAGGTGGGGTCTGAATACATCCTTGCAGTTTCCAATATGAAATGCTACTCACATGTTATTAACTTTGAACACGTTCTGTAACTTCTAAGTAATGTATGTAAGAACATCTAATATGTTCACACACACTGATGTCACCATATCTCTTCTTACTCTATCCTCTTTTTGTCTTAAGTCTCCATTAGGCTATTTTTAAAAAAAGAAACCTGCCTCTTACATTAGGAAAAAGATTAGGCACATTATAAATTCATAGCTATCTCTCCACTTACAATTTCTGAGTCCTTCATGTTATACAACTTAAAGAGTAAAATTTTATTCATAGAAGTACACTCTCAAGATTTATAGAATTACTAGGAAATAGAAAAAATAATGAAAAAATAATGAAAACCACATACATGCACAGGTTCCTTAGGATCTCTTCATCGTTAGCAATTACATTGTATGATCCAGCTTTTTCCCATAAGAAGTAAGATATAGAAGGTTGACTAAAGCCAACAGTTGCTGGAACAACTGTGTTATCATTTTTGGAATGTGTACTATAGAACTGCAAACCATCCTCTGGATAAAGGAAAATCGCATAGGAACTAGAATCAGAAGACACTAAAACAGCCTGGAATGTGTTTCTCTGTAGGGAAGATTTAAATTTCATTTGAAAAAAGTTTAAAAAAACAAAACAGTTAAACACGTGAATGATATACATTGCATAAAACAAGCCAGCTTGTTAATTATCTATTGCAGAAGACAATAAGCTTATCCAACTAAGCATGCTCCAGCTCCACTGAATTTCAAGTTCCCATCATCCTAGTAGCATGAAATTCCATATTCCCATGCAGGTTTAAATTCTGGGAGTTTCTGAAAGTTCCAAGTTTTAAGAAAATTCTGGAATACAGAATCAATACTTTAAAGAAAGAAAACTGGAAAATAGAATTTTTATAAGAAACATTAAATTATTCATGTCCAAGCAAGTTTTTCCCTAAGCACTGAATATCACAAAGTCATATAATTCAGAAATGAACAAACTCCCTTTCATAAGTTATTATTTATTAAACTGTTTTATTCTACTTCCAAAATATCTCAAAGCAATAAAGAAATAATAAACATTATTCAAATGCAAAAATAAAATTGTAATTAAAATTAAATCAGTTAAAACACATTTAGAAGAAGAGAGCCTTGTTTCCTGGAGAGATATGTATAAAATTCCACTTTAAGGCTGTACTCCTAAATCTATTTGCTAGGAGATAAAACCAGGTGGTTTCAGTAGGAATTAATCCTCAATAAATATGCACAGAATCATCTACAGTTTCAGCATTAAAAAATGCAGTCATTGAATGAATTTTTTTCAGTAGTAGGCTGTCAACTGCTTACCTTCACTTGTAAAGTAGCATCTTGACTAGATCCTACATAAGGAGCCACAGAATCCCAGGTCACAATGACAACACTCTCTGGATCAAAGGTAGTATTTGGAAAGCCCCTTTTGATGTACTTGGCAGCAAGTTGGAGGATCTCAGGGGAAGAATCTTTCCTGTAATATACATTTCCACGTCCACCTGTAGTATCCAAGTCAGCATAAAAGGGAGCAAGACCTCCAAAACTAAGGGGAAATTGACCAAGATAGTCGTCTTCTCTTAATGGCCTACTCACTGCTATGATGCCATTAGTAAGAACCTAGTTAAAATAAAAAGTATGTGTTGCAAATGCTCAGATATAATGCAATCAAACAATGCTTACCTTTACCATTTTGAAAATATTAAAAAAATCTCAGAAAATTGTGCATTTGCCTATCTGAATAATAGGCAGATTGTGTATTTTCCAAAATGGAGGAATCACCCATTGGTGCTGGAGCACTCAAGAAAATCCAAGATACAATCTAAAACCATCACAGCACTGGCAGAGCTTAACTTGAATATTGAATTGAATTGAATAAAATAGAACAGAATAGAATTCTTTATTGGCCAAGTGTGATTGGACACACAAGGAATTTGTCTTTTGATGCATATGCTCTCTGTGTACATAAAGAAAAAATAAAATATATTCATATGGCAAACAGGTGGCACGCGTGCCACAGGTGGCAAGCAGAGCCATTTGTGCTGGCATGCGAGCTGCAGCAAACTTACCTCACTGGGCATATGCGCACCTCACAGCTGGTTTTCAGCCAGTTTGAGGCCTTTTTCATTGTCACAAAGGCTTGAGAAAGGCTTCTACAGGCCGAAAACTAGCCCTGTTTCATCACTTCCTGTTTTTACGAAAATACCGGAAGTGATGAAACGGGGCTAGTTTTCAGCCTGCAAAGCCTTCCTCAACCTTTGGGAGGCCGAAAAAGGCCTCAAACCAGCTGAAAATCAGCTGTGAAGCGCAGTGAAGGTAAGGGGGTGGCAGGGGTGGGTGGGTAGGGATTATGCGCACATGCATAGGGGGTGTGGGGGGCACATTGCCTTCTGGGTGCTGGCATGCGAGTGCGAGCGTACAAGCACACACACAATTTTTGGCACAGGAGCCCAAAAAGGCTAGCCACTACTGATATGGTCTATGTGTTAAGAAATTCTGTTTCATTTTGATTCTCTTAGCCATTCACGACACTATGGACTCTGTGTTTCTGGTAAACAAATATTTTTACATTTTTTTAAGCAACTGCATGACACAACCGCCACTTCATTGAGAACTTTTTGACACATCCTGCTAAAACAATCCTCACCTTCATTTGCTTTGATGTGATGTGATTGTTCCCTTCTCTTCCCAGAAATCCCTGGTTTTACATTTTTATTTTGTATGCTTCCCTGTGGAATCCTGGTCCCTGAGGTGCTATTTTTCTAATTACAAAGAACTACTTTAATTTTTTTAATTAATGTAGTTATAAATTTAATAAGATTATGTATCATGTTTATCTTGAAATGTCACTGTCTGCTCCACCACTTCATTTTGTTAATCTGCAGTTTCACACACTTAGAAGAATTGTGTGCCACATTGACTGACAAGTGTCTATAGACTCATTTTTATTTAATAGCATGACTGGTGGAAGAGAAATCTCTATCAGGTTATCTTCCCATATTTATTGTAGTTAACATTGTAAATGCCATTCCCTCCCATTTGTTCATTTTTTTTTTCATATCTACAGTACGAGAATGGTATATAATTCACCAATTTTAATTCCCAGTATAGAGAAAAGATTTAACTACACACATTTGACAAATCCCAATTTAGGATGAAATTTGTCATGTAGTGCCTCCTGGTGGTCCAGATAAGTAAAATAAGTAAAAATTTGTTTGTAGTACTCTTTTTAGAATATGACCTGATATGATATCATGGCACTGGTTGAGTTTCACACCCTATGTCACATGACATAGCATGACTTTTTTCCCCTTCACTAAACTGGGGGTGTGGCCAGTGCGTGTGATGCATCTGGCCCATGGGCCAAGAGTTTGACACTCCTGCCCTATGCTAAACCATAAATTATGTATGGTTTATTAATTATTTATTATGGTTAACTAGATGGATTTACACTTCATGCTAAAATACAAAAAACATGATTTGTAGACAATAATGGCTGAATTCATTGCACATGCTAAGCCAAGCACTTTTGGCTTAGCATAATAGATGTCTACCTTCCCCAGCACAATCCATCCTGCTATTATCCTTAGCCTCATATGTATACTGATGCTAATTTAGCAGGCTTGTGTTTTCAATATACTGCTACTTGACTATGAGGCACAAACCTTATAAGGATGTCAAAAGAAAACAGAACAGATTCCATCTTTGTTATTTACTTTACAACTCTGGCATTTCCTCACCAAGATAAGATAATTGCTATAGTCATACTTTCCCAGAAGGACTGAGAAGAACCTTCTCAAACAGATGCAGCTGTAATACTTCTGGATAAATATATACAGGATGCCAAACAGATAAAAACCGGTTAGGATGTCTGGTAGGAAAACCAATGCTACATCTTTCAGAGGCCAGAAGTTTTGATTCAAGGATATTTATAAAAATCATTTTGATATCAGTGATATTACACTGATATCAGTGAGCAGGAATACTTACTAATACTTAATAAGTAACAGAAACACTTGTTGTTACACATTTCTAGATGATTTATGATGGGTTCATATTGTTGTAGAAAAGGTGACATCATAAGGGAATTTTGCAATGATTTCTTAACTTCACCTGAAGGTAGGAATAAATAGACCCCTCAACTCCAGAATTTGGTTGCCCAATTATTCATACCATCTCAGAAGATCATATCTTCCCTTAAATATAACGTGCTCAAATTCTCCAACTCTTTAATCTAAAATCACATTTATTTGATCCAATAGAGTATTTGATAAGTTGTAAAATAGATAATTTTATGTCACTGAATAAACATTTAAGAATTTGCTCTAATTGTGTAAACTACTATAGCTAAAAATTTTGCTATTCATCCATCTCTTCATCAGATATCTTTAATGATATGACTCAAGAACAACAAAAACACTAATGTAATACTATGTTTTATAAAAGCTAAAGACTGGGATATCAACTTCTGTTTACCCATCATCAGATACTGATTAGCCAAAGAAAAATAATTGTGCTTTGAAATGAGATAGCTATTCCAGACTTTGCTTTGGATAAGAAAACAACTATCAAAGTTTTCTATCTGACTAAATCTAAGTGCTATTGCTGGTCAAATTCCCCCATATCATTCTTCCAAAGAATATTCATTGATGTGGAAAGAGGTTCCTTTCTCTTCACATGGAACAAAGGAAGAGCCAACTATAATGTTAGAAAGTCACAATATTATGTGTCATTTCTCTTACTGTATTTTTAAATATATGTTGCTGTTACCTATATTTTGCTTTATATGGTGGTCAGCCCAAAATCAATCAATAAAATTTCTGTACCCAGGTTACAAATTCATAGTCTGCAACACAAAAAGAAGATACTAAAACTTACTTTTACAATCACTAAGGTTCAATCTCTTGTGATTATTACTCATATGCTTACAAACATAGAGTATTTGTATTTTTATAGTATTTTATTTGTTTTGTGTATAGGTTTTGTAGTTTTATGTTTTTAACACTGTAAGCTGGCCAAAGTTGCCCTGTAAGATGGTGTCCAATAAATTTAATATAATAATATTAATAAAATATAAATAAATAAATAAACATATGTTGAAACCATGGAGGTTCAAAACCAAGGCTCTTCAAAAATTTTGAAAGGGATATTTATTAATAAGTGATAGACTTTTTTTGAATCCATAAAGCAGCTGGATCTTTTTCTGGCCTGAACGAACAGATGTGATGAGTAATAAATTGGATTTGACCCTAACAGATTTAGATTCATCTCAATGAACAGCCAATCAAACTACATATGTTCACATTTCTCTCATTCCATTCTGTGACATGTTCATAGATGTGAACCATGTCTCATTTGTTGTTGTCTCTGCTTTATGGAACATTACCTCTAATATCCATATGGCACCGACCCTGTAATTCTTCAAGTTGTTTTCTGGATCATTTTCCTCAGTAAATAAATGGACAAGTATGATTTTTTAATTTGTTTATTTGGGTGCTCTATCTAGTTGTAGGACTTGTGGAGAAAACAGGTCACATTTTAGATCATATTGAACATCCAAAAGAGTTCATAAATGTTTAAGCACTACTGTAAGTTACATTTGTAAATAAAGATTTCTCTTGCATACACTATGCATAGTTCTGCTTCAGAACTATGTTCAACTTCAGCTAGAGGAATTTATAAAAAGCAGCAAGAGGATAAAGAGAGACTTGAACAAAATGCCCAGTGTTTCAAACAATGGCATTCTTAATCTGAATGTCAATCACATCACACAGTAGAGGGACATTACTATATACATGAGCCACATCCCATTACAGTATTTTGGTTGTGGCAGAAGGGCCATAACTTTGTACACAGCACTTGTAATTAAAACTTGGCAATTAAACAGTTGCAAAAATCAGGGCAAGCAGGCTGTCAAGGGGTTTTGATCTCATTGTGAGGAGTTACTGCTTACCAGAACAAATAGCAGTGACCATATGGGTCAATTATCTCATTCGGGGCACAGTAGTTTCCTGTTTGCTTCCACAATGAATGGATTTGTATAAAAATGTTATTGTAGCTGAAAATGCAGGTAACATTTTAAAATATGCAATTCTTTCAAAACCTGCTTAGTTGAATACAATGCTCTCCCTCTAACACAGAAATTAACTCCTGCCCCTTCATCTGCATTTTCCATGAACAAATGTATTTCCAGAGCAGGGGTTTTACATACAGATGAGTAGATGTGAGGTGAACAAGAGACTTTGCTCAATTTTGGATATTGTGCAAACTAACTCATGTCATAACAATCTAAGTGTGAGGTGATCATTATTTTCAAAAATGCAATTGATGACACCCACTTACAAATCTAGTACCAATTAAATGAAATATTTCCATATACACACAACTCATTCTGGAATGCATCTTTGTTCTGATATCCATTGTCCCGTTTAATTCCATTGACAATGAGAAACAATTATTCTGAATAGATTTTCCAAAATCTATTGTCCCAAAGACCAATTCTAATATACTGTATTACTTTTTAGAAAATGTAAGCGATCTCAAAAAAATTTTCACCAGAGTGATTTCTGAGAAAGGATTCTAGAAAATTATACTTTACAATAGTGATGCATAGGAATAAA